ATGCATACTTTATTAAATTTTCAATATAAACTAAAAATCTAGAATTTTTAGATTTATTTAGCCCTATATAATTTCAAAGTAATTCTAAAATAACATCCAAATTGTTTTCAATGCTTCATGCAAAGGTCTTAGAATTCTCCTTTAACGAAAAATAAAATTGTAAAGCTATCATGTGAATGGATACATTATTTATTGTCTGGATCTATAACTTTAGTTATTTAAAATAGCCGGCCGCTAGGGGTAGCTATCCCTATGAAACGAGCCGCCTCTGTGTGCGCTTTCCCATGGAAACTGAAGAGTAAACGAGCAAAACGAAGAGAGCGAAAAGCTCTCGCGTGCTCTTTGGCTCGTCTTTCACTCTCGGAACTTGTGTTGTGTGCGTTGGGGTGTGGGGGTTGGTTGCAACTACCCTTTGCTTGGTTTGGTCTGACTTGAATTTCACTTTCTTGTGGGTGCGACTAGGTCCTTGATCAGCGCATAAAACTAATGTCCTGGCGGACAACCTCCTCGAGGCACCGTGCTCAATAAATGTGCAGGTGGCACGTGGCAGAGGGCAGCCCTGGCCTGGCTGCGCTTAAGGGTTGCGTTCACTCCCCATCTGGTCTTTGCCCTCCATTTCCCTTTTTATGAATTTCATGTGCATTTTATGCATTTGGCTGATTGCTGTTCGCAAGTGGCGCCTTTATTTTCCTTTGCATCTGGGGGCAAAACAGTTACGAGCCATGCGGCCTAATTCGACCTGGCCAAATGCCAAATGCCAGGCAACAAGTCCTCTCCACTTGAAACAATCAATCATCCGCTCATATCCTAATTCGCATTTCAAATGTGCATGAGCGTTTCAATTCACAGCTGAAAAATTCAGCAAAATATGAAAAATGTTTAAGAATTTGTAGAATTTAAAGCGGAACATATGAAAGGCTTTTAGTTAATTTAAATATGTAAAAATGTTAAGATTTATCATTATTTATAAAATTAATCCAACTGAATGATAACTATTGTACTGAATATAATGTTTCTAATTAAATAAAAGTTTTTTGTAGAATGAATGGATTATGATTATATGGCTTCATAGTAATATTGAAAAAATTCTCCATAGTAATATTGAAAAAATTCTTTAATAATTTCAAGATGATGAAACTCGACTGCTCAAATTAGCCATGCCTCCGTCTCCCAACTAATTTGAGAGAGAATGCATACCAAAAATATTSTGAAATATTGATTGTATATATGATTGTAATTTSCATTTTAATATAAATCTGCAGCTTTGATAATACGACAAATATATCTGGAATAAGTAACATTTAAAAATATACAATACTTAATTTTAATTGTATRTGTAGAAACATCAACAAGCAACAAACTTGTATTTTTTAAATGTGCAACAAAATTAAGAAATTAAATTAAATTAAGAAATTAAWGAAATTCAGAAATAAATGGCAAATTTGATTGCCAAAAATTTTTAACATACTTTTAATTAAAACTAAAAAACTGATATGAAAATCCTTAATGCTTCAATTTGGAGATATGGAATATAAAT